CCCCCCGCGTTGGAATTTCGAAAAATCCCTTCTTATTGTGCATTGCCATGGCATTCCCTACTAATACGCAGATAAAAACAAAAAATCGCATCTAAAATAGCGCAGTAGAAGCCGTTCTTCCGGTTAAGACTTAATGCTCCCCCTCACCCCCCCGCGTTGGAATTTCGAAAAATCCTTTCTTAGTGTGCGTTTCCATGACGTACCTTAACTGTGTACCAAATTTCACCTCTTTAGGTTAAGCGGTTTGCTCTGGGCGATGATGAATCAGTGAATGAATGAGTGAGTCAGTCAGGACAAGCAATTTTATATATTTAGATATATATAAACAAACAAAAAAAAGTTGATATTTTAATTTCTTTTAAAGGATTGCAAGGATCTTCTGTGTCTTAAGGCCTCATATTGTCTAGGCCCTAAAATCTAGTTATATATAAAACATATGAGAGTGATATAAATTTAGTTTGCCATTTATTTGTTTAATTTTATGGCTTTTTAGAGAGGAGTGTGCCCTATATTTTATAACTACCTGATTCCAAGTTTTGTATGGAGTCATATTGTATTTCATTTTATTATTTAAAGATAATTCTCAAGAAAAAATGTCATTTTTATTTCATCATTTAAAACAAAATAAGGAAAAAATTGATATGAATCAACAGGAAGATTTAATTATAACAGAGTCAAGCAACTCATTTCCAAGCTAATATAGAAAATAAAGGGTCAATGCCAATCTGGTCTATCAAAAAATAAATTTATTATACATGTAAACAAATAACATCAATGCATGATTTATCAGAGTAAATACTATTTCTTAAACTAAACAGAATATACATTGAAAGTGAATGGTTCTAAAAGACAATTATGTAAGGGTGGATCAATAAATAAGAGCCAAAAGTAACAGCATGGTTTATTATTTATTCCACCCTTGATCCATTTTTAAATTCTAATTTCATATATTAGTTTATTGCTAAGATACATGATTATATTCTTAATTACAAATTATATAAGTTTGAATTTATACTGATAAAATTATATATATTAATGTGTGTGTGTGGGGGGAGCACGATTTTGTTCACCCACTTTGAAGCTTAATAACTCCTGTGCTTTTTTTCGAAAATTTTTGAAATTTTGTAGGGAGGTTTGTTTATTAGTGGGGTTTATGCTATTAAATTTTGGTGGTTAAAGGTCAAGAGGGTGGGTTGATAGAGAGGTGTCATGTGTCATATCTTCAGGTCAGACTTAATGACGATTTTACTCGTTATTATCATTTACAATTTATTATAAAACTCACCTGTAACATCAAATTTAAACCTTTTTTCATTTTATAATAATAATAATAATATAAAAAAAATTTTACAACAAAATCTCATAATAAATAAAATTGTGTGTGGCGCCATCTATCCATTATAATTAACATCATAAAAGTTTTTTTTTAAATAAAAAAAAGTCTCATAACAGCCGGGAAAGTTACGCAACCCATTGATGGATTTTTTAAAATTTATTCAACAAATTTAATTCTTAAAGAAATGATTCTTAACTATTGTTAGTAATGGGAATTTTCCTAAATCTATAAAAATTCATTTGATAAATAATTCCTTTAAAATAATTGAATAAATTAAGAATCAATTTAATAAAATAATTCTGTAAAATGTATCAAATATTTAACAGTAGATATATTATTAAAAATTAATTTTGAAAATCATTAAATCAACATCTTTAATTCAACATGCCATTTAAGTTGATATCAGACATGTTAAATATTTGATGTTTGATCCAACTTATAAGTCAGAAATAAATCAGGACCATCTTCAATATTTATAATTCAAATAATTTTATAAATTGTATTAATAATTCAAATATATACCAAGTCTATTTTGATTTATGATATCAAGAAAGTAAAGTAATAATTTATTATATCATCATCATCATAGATGTGAACACATTCTTCATTGAAGAAATCGGACAAGACATTAAAATGTTTAAAAATGTTAAGAGAATTAAAAATTTGATTTTACTTTTATTCATTTCCTTATTCTATTATGTCTTATAGTGACATTTAATAAACAATATTTTAAATTATCTAATTATATTTTATATATTAAATGTAAAATGTTCCATCACTGCCAACAAAAACCGAAACTAATACTTTATAAAGAAAGTGCTATAAGTAGACTCGACTCTGCCTGGATTAAATATAACTAACGAGCTACAATATACTACATTGAGTGGCTGAAGCGACGCCATGTTTGAGAAAAATTGAATACACGTCCGCCATTTTCTTTTTAGTCAACAGAGCGTGGCATTTGTATTTATTTATAAACATCAACTCACAGCCCGAGTAGATAATAACAAAACCAAACGATCGCCTAATTATCGGGCTATAATATGGCTATTATAAATGATTGAAACTAAGTAATTTGACATTAGAGGTAGGCGTTAGGCGCCATCTCTTAATTAAATTAATAATTAAATAAATAAATTTAGAACATTCTGGAATAAAAGAACTGGCCCGGGACGGGGCTTGAACCCGCAACCTCCGCTTGCCGTGCGGTGCGCTTGCCAGTTACGCCACCCGGACCCCGAGCGAGTCTTCGCTTCCAGAAGTATATTAGATTTAGATATAACCTTACTTAGTTAAATACATGGTTAAATACTAGATTTAGATATAACCTTACTTGGTTAAAAAATAGAGATGGCACCTAACGCCTACCTCTAATGTCAAATTACTTAGTTTCAATCATTTATAATAGCCATATTATAGCCCGATAATTAGGCGATCGTTTGGTGTTGGCATTTGTATTGTGTAAAGGCAACGAATTCGTTCGTAGTGACCGTCGTTGCCACCAAGAGAATTGTAACCATGGTCACAGACATTCTATGTAGTATATTCTAGCTCGTTGAATGTAACCAAATCAATCGAAACGGATAGCAAGCACTTTAGTCACACTTTTCGAAATATTATGTTTCAATTGATTTATTTTTAGTTTCAGTTTTGGAATAAAGGCCAGAGTTTTAATTAACTGGCTACCTAGTATTAATCAATACTAAATATTAATAGTATATTAATAAATTTCTGTTATTTAATTTGTTCGTAAACCGAATTGTTTGAAACCCGAGGTTTAATAAAGCTGAAAATAGTTTATTAACAAATAGATTAATCACGATTGTCTCGAAAATAACATTATTTTTGTTATCAAACACAAAGGAGGATTTCGAGCCAAACTTGATTGTTGGCAATTTATTTCTCCATTTAGGACAGCTATTTTACATAATATAACACTAGACGATTAACATATCCATTAAATAATTTAAGTACTTACAGAGATATATATTACTTGCATATTGAAAAAATAATTCTGTAAAACACATACTGAAGTTGAAGTATGAATAACTAAATATTCAATTTAAATACATCACACCCCCTATTTCCTAGCATTAACTACTTAAAAATAGTCCTCCTGATCGGAATTTTTAACATCACAATCTTCTTGTGTATAACCGCCTGTTTCCATTTCGGTTGATTTTATCGATGGTTCGGCACCATTGCACTGCTCTACTAAAACACTTGTTATCGGTCCACGCAAAATGTTTCGATAAAAAAATAACGAAATATTATTAGAAAGCGGAGCATAGCAGAAAATCAGAAATAACATCTGAAAAATAATTTTTTCAATAAGAAACGAATAGCAAATGGCATGAAGTACAGAGTGGCCATAATTAAAGTTTTTCTATTCACAGCTCTCTGCAACTGTAACTTTCACATAATCTGTATACTAATTTTGGTGTCAACCCGTTCATTGGTTACAGCTACAGACTGTTCTGAATATCGAAACTTTAATTATGGCCACCCTGTATATAGAATTTAAAATAGTACTAACCTTCAGCATCCAATAACAAGGGATCCAAGCCACTATGGCATCAAATAAAATTTCAAATAGATTAATTAATGTAAATATCATCCAATAAACCGTCATAATTTCTATATCTCGCGATGTTCCTCTTTGCATCGCATCCATTCTGTATTTAAATATTCTGTTACGTAAAAAGTTATAAAATTCGAGAACGTAAACACTGAATAATTAACTTACGAAGCGCAAATGGGATATACGGTCGACGTGACAGTGCAGACAATTTCATTTCCATAGCCCACCGCGGTGTATCCAGCAACGATAATCATTAAACCTGAATAATTATAGAAAGAATAATCGATGTAAAAATTGAACGAGTAAGAGTGAAAGATTCAAATATTTAAAGACGGCAGTGTTGTGGGTTTTAGAGTACTTTCTGGGCTGTGAAGAAAGTGCAGGTACAGAGAATGTATGCTGCAGAAATACGGATGCTGAGATGGATGAGTGGTGCCACAAGAAAAAAATAAGGCGATGGGGAACTTGGGCATCACAGAGATAGAAGAAAAATTGAGGAAATAGCGACTGAGGTGGTTTGGGCACGTGCAACGCCAACCAGAAACAGCCCCAGTACAAAAAGTCCTGGGAATGTCATTGGAAGGGGCAAGGAGAGGAAGACCTCGATAAACCCAGAATGATACCCTAAAACTTGATATGGATGAGTGCGGTGTCTCTTTGGAAGTTGCTTTGGACAGGAAAGAATTGAAAAAGTGCCAACCACATATAGTTCGATAAAGGCCAAGAAGAAGAATTATAGATAGAACATTCAATTATTAATTCAGAATTAACAAATTTTATGATAAAGAAACTTACAGGCGACGATGTAAAATCTATTGCAGCCACATTTCTCTTCCACTTTGCCGAGAATTCTTGTATATTTGTTGTTTGAATTCAATTTCGTGGATATTTTGTTAAGAATTTCCACTATAATTTCCATTTTTTTCTTTCTATTAACGTTTTCGAATAATTCTTGTTAAATTTTCCGGTTCTTTCCAATGACGAAAAATATTCAGTTCTAAGAACTTAAAATTTGAATTCGAAAATTTCTGTGAAGTGCCGTCTGCTGAATTAGGCCGTATGTTTATATTATCATATTTTTCAATAATATGTAGTCTATATATTTTATGTAGTTAAGCGTCATATTGTAATCACATATTATTACTGTAATGATTATTATTCCTCAATAAAACTTAGTAGACTTCCGGTTCTTTTCAATGACGAAAAATATTCAGTTCTAAGAACTTAAAATTTGAATTCGAAAATTTCTGTGAAGTGCCGTCTGTTGAATTAGGCCGTATGTTTATATTATCATATTTTTCAATAATATGTAGTCTATATATTTTTAATTTGTGTAAATGTATTTAAACCGGCTTAAAATTATAATAATATATATTTTAAATATAATATCAAATAATAAATATAAAATATAAAAATACTGTATACGTTTTGATGTCTTTGATGTCTTTATTATGACTTAAGATGGTTAAAATATCTAAAAAATAATAAATATTTACATGCAAAATATATCTTTAACTGTTCATTTGTCAAAACAAAAGCAATCTGCGGACTCGACGGGCTGAGGCTCAATCGCGGCGATCAGCAAGATGATTCCGATCTTTTCCAGTGAAAGTGCGCGTGTCACCGACATATGGAAATGCAACCCATAGATTATTTGACAAGGAAAATACAGTATGTCTTTCTATGGGAAGTTGTCTTCTATTTAGGTGTTAGACGTGTGAAAATAGCCATTTATTTAGCTGATGACAAATTAATCATCAGGCAAAATAGCTGATTGTTGTATTTTCGCGTCAAGTGCGGGTTCTAGTTTTTGTTTTCCCTTTTTGCAGCGCGATTGCCCCTCGTTTCTTCTACGCTCGCAACAAAATTCCTATTTTTCCCAGTCAACTGCTCGATTGTCTCCTCCTTGATGCTACCCTCAATGCTTCTGAAAACGTGGAGGGGTCTTGCGCCATAACGATTGGCTTAAATTTCTCGCTCAGCCCGTGCAGAAACTAGACGCGAAGCTTTTCGTCCAACTCCCTTTGCTGACATTGTCTTACGATGACGTGCTCCTGGTCTGTCGTTGGATGGTCGTCACGTTGGCTAGCGTTTGCAGCCTGACCCCAAATTCCTGAACCCTTTCCTCACGTTGCTGGACGCAAGCGTGAAATTTTTACACGCGAATCGAATATGGCACGCGGTCAAATCTCTCCACCATTAAGCGTTTAGCTCGTTGTACTTGACGACGCTTTTCATCTGCATATTCCTTCATGCGAAATCTCGGAGGACGCTTGCCAGTTTGCATTTCGCGATGCTAAGGCATTATCGCGCAGCTACCTCGTCCAATGTATCGAAAAAGTCGGTGACATGCCCATTTTCACCAGAAAAGGTCGAAATCAACTTGCCGAACGCCGCGATTGAGTGTCAGCCTAATTGCTGCGTTCATGATGGGGCACTTGTTTCAGTAGTCATATTCTGACCCACTTTTCTTTCTCACCCAGAGAATTTTTGTATCGACTTTCTTAGAATCCTGGTGGACGGCGCTACTGTGTTTAACCACCCGTGTAATTTTCGGCTAAAAATTTCGTATCACTGACACCACTGTGAGGTTAGCGGACTGTGTGAGTCCATCAGGATCGACGCGTGGTCACGTCTATTGTGTGGGCGTGGCAAAAACTCTCTGAGACAAGTTTCCCATCTTTTAACCGTTTAATTAATTAGTTTTCTTACAAAGGTGCTAACACTTGGTCGTCACAGTTCTTTCAAAGAATAACCAAACAAAGTCCAAAAGTTCTTTAGGTTGTCTTCTTCTGGAACCTCGTAGCAATTTCTAGATCGTCAGCCACGGGGCGTACTGTCCAACTTTCAAAGTAGAGTCCTAGAAGCAAGGTTTCAGCAAGAATCGTCCGAACAATTCTCACGGAGAGCACTTCACTCCGAAGAGAGCGTATCCAACAGCATATATCAGGGAGAGCCAAGAGTCGGGAGCGACAAAACGAGAGCCACGAACTTCGCGTCTTTGAACCACGCGTATTTATCAGTTTTTCCCCCAAAGTCGATTCTCCATTGGTCTCTCTTCGTCACCCGGTCACAACTCGAAACCCGTGGAAAAGCGCGGGAGAGATCAACGTCGCGACAAAACCCGACTCCTCTCAAACCGCGCTTCCCCGACTTTGATTTCTACAAGACAATTATTCTATTGTTTTAGCATTTTTCACAATTTTTATGGTTTAATCACGATCTTTAATTTCTCCCTCTCGCTTGAAAAAGGAGATTTTCGAAACTTGGTTTAACAGCTTTCGGACCTTCAAATCGACTCTCCTTCGGGTCCTCACGGATCATTTTTCGCATAATTCATTGCAATCTACTTTGCAGATAAAATAAGTAATCTCGACATAGTAAATTACACTGTAAGCATATATTTTGAATCTTGCAATCCTTATTTCCGATCAGTTTACAGGCCTATAAATTCGCCGAAAACATTTACTGTGGTTAAAGTTATAGCTGGAAAAGCACGAATGATGATAGTTTATTATTATTATTATATCATCAAATCTCGAGTTATTAAAAAGAACTTTTTGAGTTGGCTACTTTTCAGAAAATATTTGGCTACAAACACTAAAAACATCTGGCAACGTTGTTTGACTGGTGACAAAAATCGCCTGTGACGTCGTTACGCGGTCGTTACGACTAAGGCGCTAGGTAATCTAGCGCCTTAGTTACGACTCGTAACGACCGCGTAACGACGTCACAGGCGATTTTTGTCACCAGTCAAACAACGTTGCCAGATGTTTTTAGTGTTTGTAGCCAAATATTTTCTGAAAAGTAGCCAACTCAAAAAGTTCTTTTTAATAACTCGAGATTTGATGATATAATAATAATAATAAACTATCATCATTCGTGCTTTTCCAGCTATAACTTTAACCACAGTAAATGTTTTCGGCGAATTTATAGGCCTGTAAACTGATCGGAAATAAGGATTGCAAGATTCAAAATATATGCTTACAGTGTAATTTACTATGTCGAGATTACTTATTTTATCTGCAAAGTAGATTGCAATGAATTATGCGAAAAATGATCCGTGAGGACCCGAAGGAGAGTCGATTTGAAGGTCCGAAAGCTGTTAAACCAAGTTTCGAAAATCTCCTTTTTTCAAGCGAGAGGGAGAAATTAAAGATCGTGATTAAACCATAAAAATTGCGAAAAATCCTAAAACAATAGAAGAATTGTCTTGTAGAGATCAAAGTCGGGAAAGCGCGGTTTGAGAGGAGTCGGGTTTTGTCGCGACGTTGATCTCTCCCGCGCTTTTCCACGGGTTTCGAGTTGTGACCGGGTGACGAAGAGAGACCAATGGAGAATCGACTTTGGGGGAAAAACTGATAAATACGCGTGGTTCAAAGACGCGAAGTTCGTGGCTCTCGTTTTGTCGCTCCCGACTCTTGGCTCTCCCTGATATATGCTGTTGGATACGCTCTCTTCGGAGTGAAGTGCTCTCCGTGAGAATTGTTCGGACGATTCTGGCTGAAACCTTGCTTCTAGGACTCTACTTTGAAAGTTGGACAGTACGCCCCGTGGCTGACGATCTAGAAATTGCTACGAGGTTCCAGAAGAAGACAATCTAAAGAACTTTTGAACAGCGGCGGGGAAAGACCTAAATTTGATGTGGGCAAGGTACATTTCGCGAGGCCCCCTGGTGGCGCAAAAAGACTGATTTTATAAAATAAAAAGCAATTGAAACTCAAATTTTTTTCCTAAAAATGCAAACTGTATTCTTTAACTATCATTAAAAAAAATTAAAGAAACAGAAATTTCCTGCTTTTAGCCTTACTAAACTCCTTAATAATTGTATCGTAATTCAGCTTATATGCTATACTGTATATGCTTCAATAGATAAAAGTGCGAAAGCTGAAAGTCTTTCCTGACCCATTGTATTTCTTAAATAATTCTTTATTAGTTTTAATTTTGAAAAGCTCCTTTCAGCGTAGGCAGTACTTACCGGTATTGTTAACAAAATTCGAACGGCAATGTAAATATTTGGGTAAATTTCTTTCAAGTTATTTTCTGTTATGTATTAGAGCAGATGTTTCACATCTTTTAAATGAAGTTGGTAAATTTGGGATCATTGTTTGTAATTCTTCATATAATTCGTAAGGTTGGAAGTCACTGCTCTCACTCACTCGAAGGACTGAGTGTAAATCTTGACAGTTTTTTAATATTTGCTCTTTTAAAATATTTTTTAACTCGCTTAGATCATAGAGAAAACCAAAATTTTCAAAATGTTTATTTAAGGATATAAATCCCGAATCCATATTGCTTATCATAGAATCAATCATGGTGTTAAAAAAATGCTTCCTACCTGCTTTTGGGAGACTGTATAGGTTGATCGCTGCCTTCATCATCGAACATCCTTTTCTTTTTGGCTACCCTTTCGTTTTTAAAGTCTTTTGGCAGTTCATAACTGCTATTCTCAATAAATTGACGAGCGTCAGACAAGCATTTTTCGAATCCAGTTTGTCGATATTCTTTGATCCAGTCACAAAATGTACGCAAATGTTCAAGAGCATTGCTTAAATGGACTTGTAAAGATTGCCATAATTTGCTTATGATATTAACACGCGATAATATCTCATACCATACATGTAATGATGTGATAAATTCTAAACTGAGCATTTCGTTTAAAACCGAATCATAATCACTGTGTGTCTGATTGTTCCGATTGATTTTTTAAGCTTTCGATGCATTCAACATCAAATTGCAATAATACGGCCTTCAAACCCTCGATTCTACTTTCTCACCTTGTGTCTGATAAAGGCTTCAAAGTAAGCTTTAATTTGCCTTTGATTAATTCCCAGCGTTTGCTGGAACTTGAAAATAGCAAATAAATTTTCTGAATAAAATCAAAAAATGTTTTTGCTGCCACAGAAGAATTAGCTGCGTCTACCAACAGCAGATTCTAGCTATGACAACCGCAAAGTGTAAAAAATGCCTGGGATTAATATTTAATATTCCAGTTTTAACTCCACTATTTACGGGATACTTTACTGCGATACTTTGATTGGCTTTCTAGCCGTTG